TTATATTTGAGTTGACTTTTACTTTTAAGAGATAGATAAGTTGAAAAAAAATCAGACTAAACAAGCATTAAAAATTGTAAACAATTTTACATATCATAACAACAATCAAAACAAAAATATATAACATATGATAAGAATAGTAAAATTGGATGCCATATATATCTTTAGCTTCATCTTATTTATTAGTATTTTATATATCTACGTAAATAGTTTGGCACAAAATGTACAAAAAGTTTTTTTTAACTCTTTTGGCACTTCTTCCTCTTCATACTCAATAAAACGATGTAGTTTTGATTTATAATAAAATTCTAATTTAACCCCAATTATAAATTTATTTTCATTTTAGCTTCCTTCTTCTAGCACTAACCAACTCTTTTCTTTAAACCTTCTTTCCCACCCTCGATCTCTGACATTTCAGTTGTCGTCGGCCTGGGCCTTTCTGACTTCTCTTTTTCCTTCTACCAGTACTTTCCAAAAAGCTTCAAATAGGGTATTTGGCTATCTCTATTTCATCTTTCTCGACTTTTAAAAGGTCTCAAATATCTTTTAAAATTTATGTAAATACACATATAAGTGTAAGTCAAAGAAATCATACGTACTTAAGAATTAATATACTTTGGATTAACGTTAATGTTAATATTATGTATGCTACATTTAAGTGTTAATATTCACTTAATCTTTAAATTATAATATAACATTTAAATATTTGAAATGAATGAATTTCACTAAATTAAAGTAATTAAATATAATATTAATGTTAAAAAATGATATATTTATATTTTAAGTAAAAAATAAAATTAAAAAATACATTATATCCCTAATATTATTTACCTATTAATATGTTTAACAGATTTTTATTATTTTATTATTTTATTATTTGATCTTACGCTTACACTTTGTCTTTAACGCCCCTCTCTGTCTCTCTCTTGTATTTATGACTGCTTTCCTTCATTTCCCGCTAACCAAACGCATCCAAAAACCCCGGAGAGAGGGAAAGGGTAGAAAGATCAGACCTTTTTGGTCTCTGTAGAAGACGATGGCTTGGAGACACCTAATCACTCAGGTTACTTCCCTTCTCTCTTTTAAGATTCTTTCTGCCTAGGTCTTAATTTCGTATTAATAAAAATTTTTGCTCTGTTTTTTGTTATTTATATATTGGGTTTCTAGAATATAATGTTCTGAAATTCGGGGATTGAGGAAACCCTAATTTTTGAATAGCTTAAAGCTGTTACACTTAACACTTGAATCCGAGCTAGCTATTAGAGTAGGGAATCAAAATTTGAAACGTTCTATTTTAATTTCCGTTGTTTAGCTGATTGGGACTTTTACTGGCACAAAATTT